CGTAAAATAATGGATCGGATCGATTCGGTTTCCACAGATTGGGCTTTTCAAACAACCCAACATGATTACACTTTATGACCCATTAAAATATCAAATTAGTAATTAAAAACATGTAATTAACTTTTTAACATATATTACCACAAACTTAAATTACTTAATAACAAAATAGAGTTGTAAATCATCCAAAAGTGAAAAGTCTTAAATAATGAATAATAATAATAAAAAAGAAATACAGTAAGTATATATATAGTTTTATGTATATATATATATATATTAATATATTATTAAGGTAATGGATCGGATCGGATCAGTTTTCTCAGGACCCAATCCGCTAACCAAACTGCTAATAACGGATTGTTATTTTTCTAAATCATCACCGAACCATAAGATCTAAAAATTGAACTGAACTACACGGATTGAATTGGTTCGGACCGAATTGACAAATTATTTGCTCACCTCGATTGAAAATTAGAAATTGTTTTATGCTTTTTTTTTTTTTTTCATAAATAGATTTATATTAGGAAAAGGAAAATTATAAGAGACTATAAGAAGGAATAAAAATAAAAATAAAAAAATTATAAATGTCATCGTGGTTATTTATGATCACTTTGTCACATTTGAGAGCTTAATTTTAATTTAGAATTGAAAGAAATTTAGTTATATTTTTTTACTAAATTTCCTACCATATCAAATTTAAATCAACAATTCGGGATGTAATTTTTTATTTTTATTTAGATGTCCATCTTTAACTCATTTCCGGTGGTATAAAGATGTATTCTTGGCAAAGGTTCTCCAGCTCAATGATGCAAATCATGAGCACTGGAAGGCCAAATTTGTAGATGGCTTACCAACCTTTTTTGCTGAAAGAATCCGGAAGAAGCTTAGAGACCTAAATAATGGTATCTCTATCCCTTACAGAAACTATACCTATGGTGGATTAGTTAACATTGTAATCCAGGAAGGTCTAGCTCTCTGTAATGATCTGAAGTTACAATCCCAGTTAAAATCCCAAAGATTAACTGGTCGAAAGGAAGTAGGTGAATTTTGTGATCAATTTGCCTATCAGACTCCCTTATCTTATCCTAAACCTAGGAAAAGAAATAAGGTTGAAAAACCTTATAAAAGGAAGTATTCCAAAAGAAAGAATTATTCAAAGGAAAAGGATAATTCTAGACAGTATACTAAGCCTAAAAGGAGATATACTCCGAAAGCAAAGGGTAAAGGAAAGCCCAAGGCTGAGGCTAAATGTTTCAAATGTGGGCGCATTGGCCACTATGCAAACAAGTGTAGAACTAAGGAGAAGCTCAGTAGTCTTCACATAGAAGAGGAACTGAGACTTCAATTAAGTAAATTGTTACTTAATACTAGTTCTTCTGAACCAGAATCATCAAGTGATTATGGAGATGTTGTCATGGAATTACAATCTTCTTCTTCCTCTGAAGCAGAGATTGAAAACCCTAGATGTTCCTGTAATCCTTCGCATGATGATTATTATAAGGCAATTGTTGAGATGAATGGGTTAAGCTTAAATGTTTTAACTTCCACTCAACAATCCTTATTGGATCTTATAGATCATATCCAGGATCCTCATATCAAGATGAAAGTCTTTGAAATAGGTTATGCTTTGGTACGATCTAATGAGGATACGGATAATCCAGATTTTCTGCGAGCAGAAAATCATTACAGTATGAAAGAAGTTCTAAGCAGATTAGAACACCAAGGACAAAATTCACGTCCTGTTAATCTCCCTGACCTCAAGATGGAGATTAATCTTTTAAAAGAAGAAATTCGTCAATTAAAGTCTCGTCAGACTAAGATGGATTTGGAAATTACTCTTTTAAAAGGAAAATCTGCAATTCCATCTTCCTCATCCAAGGAGGAAGCTCCTCAATCAGAAGAAGGTAATAATTATCTCCAACTCTTGAATCAAGTTACTTACCAAAAATGGTATATTACTATCAATTTGGTAATTAATCAGGAGTACACACTCACTAATGCAATTGCTTTAGTTGATAGTGGTGCAGACATGAACTGCATCCAGGAAGGATTGGTTCCTACTCAATATTTTGAGAAAACCACTCAAGGTCTTACCAGTGTAAGTGGAGGTAAGATGCAGATTAAGTATAAACTTAATCATGTGTTCATTTGTAAAGAAGGTATTTGTATCCCATCTACTTTCTTACTCATCAGAAACTTGGCACAACAGGTTATTTTGGGCACTCCCTTTTTAGCTTTGATTATGCCAATTGAGAAAATTGATTCTCATGGAATATGCTCTACTTTACATGGTCAGTCAATAACTTTTTAGTTCTTGACCCCACCAGTAAATAAGCATATCAATGCCCTTAAAGATAACATTATCTTTAAGGAAAAGCAACTGAATTATTTGCAACAGGAGGTATCCTCCTTAGCAATTAATCAAAGATTGGTACAACCCAAAGAGCAACAGAAAATTGAGTCACTACGGCAACACTTTTTAAAAGAAATCTGTAGTGAGATTCCTAATGCTTTTTGGGCCATAAAGAAGCATATTGTTTCTTTACCCTATGTCAAGGGGTTTACCGATAGCATGATTCCTTCAAAAGCTAGTCCCAGCCACATGAAAGCTGACTACTTGGAATTATGTAAGACTGAAATCAGCTCTTTAATGGCTAAAAAGCTTGTCACTACTAGCTACTCCCCCTGGAGTTGCAGAGCTTTTTATGTCAATAAAAATGCTGAAAAAGAACGAGGAATTCCTCGATTGGTTATTGATTATCGACCACTTAATCTTACTTTAAGTTGGATCCGATACCCAATTCCCAACATCAAAGATCTTTTAGATATGTTACAATCTGCTGTAATCTTTTCTAAATTTGATCTTAAATCTGGATATTACCAGGTACAAATCACCAAAGAAGATAGGTACAAAACAGCTTTTTGTGTACCTTTCGGACAGTATGAATGGACAGTAATGCCATTTGGATTAAAAAATGCCCCTTCAGAATTTCAACATATTTTGAATGACATATTTAATCCTTTTACTGAATTTTCTATTGTTTATATTGATGATATTCTCATATTCTCAAAATCAATAGATCAGCATTATAAACACTTGAAAATTTTCAAAGATGTTATTTACCGAATTGGTTTAGTTGTTTCTGCTCCTAAACTAAAACTGTTTTTAACAAAGGTCAGATTTCTTGGTCATGAAATTTGTGATGGAAAAATTAGACCTATTGATCGCAGTATTGAGTTTGCCTCTAAATTTCCAGATGAAATCAAGGATAAAACTCAACTTCAAAGATTTCTGGGTAGCTTGAATTATATTCGAAGTCACTACAAAAATCTTGCACAGGACACAGCAATTTTGTATACCAGGTTAAGGAAATCTCCTTCCCCATGGACTTTGGATCACACCAAGGCAGTCCAGAAGATCAAACTCAGAGCCAAACAAATTCTTCCTTTAGATGATGTCGATCTAGATAGATCGATGGATTTTCTGAAATTCAGAAAAACATCACCATCTTGGTCCTGAATAACACAGTCTAAGCTATGATTAGCAATTGGCTGTGCTGGGACGGCATTAGAAATCGTCCAGTGTTCAGGAAATGTTATCTCACTCCAAGGAATCATCCTTTTTGTGGCAACATTTGATGTGTACATGTTAGTATCCCATAACGCGGTTACTCCTTTAGAGTCTTTGCGTATGGCCTTGGGACACATAGTATCAAGTACTTTGTAATGGATGCGATAAATAACACTTATCACTTCCGATCCAGGTAGGTAATCATATCCATAAGTCTGTACCCTAAGACTAACTGCCTCATGAATATTTTTATCTGTTAAAGATAAATTCAGACTAGGATAGACATCAAAGTAAACCGGTCCATGACATAGACTGGTTTCCAGTGCACCCATCAAAGAAGGGTGAAATTTCAGACATCGAGCATCCCTTAAGGTTGCTTGAATACAGGCATCCATACCTAATAAGGTTAAAGGTTTAAAAGCAATTTGAATTAAACCTATATGGATGTATTTGTATTTATGCATGTGCCTTTGAAGGTCACGGGAAGACAATAACTTAATTATTGTATCCTTGGTGCTTAATTGCATGGTCTGTTCCATGGTCTTAATAGTCCATAGATCAGCTAAATTAAGCATTCCGATTTTGTAAATGCTTTTTGCATTTACTGGAGGAATAGTCCATTTGTTCAATTGATTTTGAACATTGGTCCATTCCACTACTTCAGTATTTTTTACCAGTTCTGAGTCCTGGTTATCCTGTAGTCCTGAGGAGGAGGACGAAGATGGTTGTAACATGTCTGTTAATTATTGTTAATGCTTTGAGGTCTAAGCAGTATAAATATTATGATATTATATAATGAACAGTAAGTTACTATTCTGTCGTCTTTCTGCTTAAGAGAGATTCTATTACTCGTCTGTCAATGATTTACTGGAAACAGTACCCTGTGTAGCAATCTAATGCAAAAACGGGTTAAACATTCCAACACGACTTTTGGACGACCCATAATTGAATCTGGGATAAACAGAGTTTATACAGAATAATATTCGTATTGTTCAACACATAATTATGATAATATTCATGCTACCAGAACCTAAAAAGCATTAACAATAAGAACTTAAGCCATCATGGCTCTGATACCAAATTCCCAACTGCAATAATCTATATATATGATAATCTATATATATGATAATAATATGCAATACTATGGATCGTAAGATTAGAAACAAGAGTACTTACAGAAAACTTTCTTTATTTAATTTTCCAAGCTAGTACAGAGCAATATTACAAAAGAGAGAATAGAAAATTGAAAGATACATTGAAGGGAAACATTGCCTTCTATTTATACATAAAATGGACTTGAAATTAATAATTTGAAGTCCGCATAGTGCATGGGATAGTGTGCTGGAATAATGCAGTCTATTTATTTTTAATTTGGTTTTATAAAAAAAAATAATATATATATATTGATATAACAAGTGAAAAATGAAACAAAGGCCCCATGTCACTTTCCACTTGTGAGTTTTTGAAAAGAGGATGTCGGTCACTAGACTGACCACTCCTCCCTCCATTAGACTAAAAACCCTGCAATTTGCAAATCTAGGGTTTAGTAAAGTAGACAGAAAGTGGTAGTACCTTCATTTCCTCTCCTTTGCTTGCCTCAAATGGCAATTACGACTAGGGTTTTGTTTGTTTATTAATTCATTGTGTTGTGGGTTTCAATTTGAAGTTCAAGCAGCGACCCAATTAGCGTTACTCTAGTAGTGTTTCAACTTCAACCCTAGATTTCGCTTCAAATCAAATATAGGGCTTACGGTGAGAGTTTTGTTTGTTTATTTATTAGTAATTCATCTCTGTGGTGTGGGTTTCAACTTCAAGTTCAACCATCGACCGATTGGCATTACTGAGGGGAGCAGATTCGAATAAGAAAATGTCAGACTACTTTCCATTTCTACCTGGAGATGTGCTGAGCGACATCCTTACTAGACTTCCCCTCAAAACCCTAATCCGATGCACCTCCGTCTGTAAATCATGGTACTCTCTCCTCACAAACCCTAGTTTCATTACCAAACACCTCAATCGATCTCGATCCAACCACAACAACGATTTTCTACTGTTTCAAAGCTATTCCGATTTTTATGATGGCGATAATAAAGAGACTTATTCACTACGTTTAGATGATAACAAAACATTCTTGGAGTATGCACAGCTTGAGTTGCCAATGAAGAGCTATTGCAACCATTATTTTCGGATATCGGTAGCTGCAATGGCCTCATTTGCCTCTCAGACGATCAGTTCATGTATATCAATGATCTCTTTCTTTGGAATCCTACCATTCGAAAGGTTTTACCCCTTCCACGGGTTCGTGTCACCTTCGATTCGCACGGTCCATTCAGTGCCAACATTGGCTTTGGGTTCGATTCAAGCACTGGTGATTACAAGGTTATCCGAATTGTGCATTTCGATTATGTTCACATGCCACAGGAGATTGACATTTTCAGTCTCAGCACCGGCACTTGGCGCAACATCAGTCATATGGCGCTTCCAGATATCAACATCAATGAGCGGGCTCCCCAGGCTTTTCTCAATGGGGCTGCACACTGGGTTGCTTCCAAATTGCGTAGTTATGGTGGCGGCTTCTTGATCGTGTCCTTCCACATGGGTCATGAAAAATTTAGTCAAATTATGCTACCTCATAACATCATGGCTCATGACAGTGGCTTAGCATCAATGCTGATGTCAAGTGCTCTTTATTTTCGTGTTGCTAAGTTTCAGGAATCACTCGCTGTCATCCACTTTACTGGTCCAGAAGACAATACTTGTTGCATTTGGGTGATGAAAGAGTATGGCGTAAGGGAGTCTTGGACTAAGCAATTCTATTTTGATATGACTGAAACATTCAATACCCTTGCTGGATTCACAAGGAAAGGCAAACTTCTACTGGCAACTAGTGATGGGTACCTGGTCGCTCATGATCCCAAAGCCGGTCTAACAACCCATCTTTTAGTTCGTGGGACTACACATCATACGTATAAGTAGTCATTTTTTGCAGATGCTTACACGGAGAGCCTAGTTTTACTTGGAAAGAGATTTTGTGATACAGGCACTTCTGAGGAATCATCACCTGGGGCTGTTGAAGGGAGGTGTGAGGAAATCAAGAACAGGCAAGTTGCACCATGTCACTTATTTTTACGTTCTATGCTATTTGTTAAATTCTTTATTGCTTCTTATGAATGTCGTCATTACCTTAGCATGTAGCATAAACTTAAAACTTAAAGTTTTATGGTCAATTACTGTTTCATTTTAGTAGTTTTATTGGAGTAATAATTATTTTAGAGGGTAAAGTGCAATAAACCCCCCTCAACTATGCCCCAGTTGCAAGAAACTCCCCAAACTACAAGTTGCCCCCTGCAACTATTGAATTGTTGCAATTAAGGACAGATATGACATTTCCGGTCAGCTGTGGAGAACGGAATTAGTTAAAGACACTTTTACCCCCTACATAGCACCATGCCGTTTCACAATTGTTTCAATAGTTGTAAACTTAGGTGGATGACGTGTATAGTGTAATTTCAAGAACCAATCATATTACGACAACTGGCCGAACCGCGTGGTAAAAATCACATTTCACATAATTGGTTAACCATATATTTATATATATGTAGTCATGTTCATATTCCCACACCAGAAAATTCAGAGTAGGGAAACAAACACAGCATTACAAATTCAGAGTGAGAGAGAAGAGGAAGAAGAATACCCATATCGTCTCATGGCAAATTCAGAGTATGATTTTCAACCAATTTGTGTCATCACTTTGTTGCAACAGTCCAATTTTGATTCAATTTTTTTTTGGGAAACAAGGGGGTGGAACTCAGCCGATTCGAAGACCAGTACTACTGATGCTGACATCTATCCATTCTATCAATATTTATTTTGGATTATTATTTTTGCTACAACCACAACCACAACCACTTTCAAGAAATCCCCTACAATCCCTGTATCACCAATGTTTTAAGCCAACAACAATCTAAAACTAATCTTCATGTATCTCAGAAACCAATCTTTCTCAAATGGTCCCTGGTCTCGAATCTTAAACTAGAAATAAGGTAATTTCTCTTCGATGGAGCTCATTCTCTGCCAAAAAACCAACAAAATCAGTGTTTATTTGTGTTTGTATATCACACACAGAGAGATAGAGGCACACCCCTTCGCAAAATGGAACGATTTAACGATATATATATATGTGTGTGTGTGTGTGTGCGTGTGTGCATATATATAGGCAGATATAGTTAGATGATAGAGAGATAGAGAGAAATAGAGTGAGTTAGGGATGCAAACCCAATCGCATAACCCCAAGAATATATAGTCGCCGATCACCAATCAAACCCAATCGCAAACACAAAATTCTGAGCCCATCATCTTCCAAATCCAAATAACAGATTTTTCACCGAAACCACTGTCACTGCAACAGCCACATCGGAGAGTCTCATCATCGAAATACCCATTCTCATAGCCATCACCATCACTGATTGGTTGAGCCTTTTGCCATTGTCGCCAATGTGTTGATTCTTCCTGTCGCCGTCAGAATCTGTCACTGTCGTATTCCTCGGCAAGTCGTTGCCGTCGTCGTTGAATCTGCAAGGTCTCGCTGCTGCGTGTATGACTGTTTATGTAACTATGTTTAGTTTTCACTGGTCTCAAACAGAGGGGATTGTTTGGTGATGGAAATAGAATTAGGGCATGTTTGGCTGGGGTTTGGGTTTAACAGTAATAAGAAGTGTAGTATTTTTGTTTCATAAGGTCTGTATAGTCATTTAAATAAAATTGGGCTTTCGCATAACAGACACCGGTTGTTAACGTTCCAAATTCAACTGGCCAATTGTCGTATTGGGTTCATTGCAACGAAAGTGGTTAGTTCAGGGGTTTTATGCAACTTTTGTAGATTAGGGGGTTTCTTGCTAAAAGGGGCATAGTTGAGGGGGGTTTATTGCACTTTATCCTTCTTTTAGATCTTGATATCTTATTGTGTCTGATGTGCAAGGAATGCTGTCTTTCAGGTTTGTGACGGGGGTGGAAAATGAAAATGAGAAAATAAGTGGAGATGGAGAACTGTAAGAAGAGTAGCGCTGTAGAAGTTGCATAGTGAACTCTTTCCTTGCTTTTACTTGGTCTTGCTTTGCTTACAATATATAAAAATATATCGATGTAGTTAAAAACTTTCTTTGTGAAAGATTTAATTCATGCATGATACTTACGAACTCTTGGAGCATTTGGGCTTGATATGCCTTGTGGATATTATGCTGATTATATTTTGAATTGTTGATTATTACTTATCTTTTGATGCCATTATATATTTCTAGATTTTGTTTTGCGGTATGAGCTACCTTATGTTATATGAATTAAGTTGTCAAGAGCAGCTTCTGTAGGTTGAGTTGCTGGGTTTTGAGCCAAGCATTGAGAAGTCACTAGTTGGTGATGCTTTGTATGAAATCAAAGATAGTTTTCCCTTTGGCTCGGATATGGCGCACCCAAGGTTATGGTCAGCTTGTTTCACTTGCTAGCAAATCTCGTGTTCAAACTTTGGTAAGGAATATCTTGCTCATCAACATGTTTGGAAGCTTAATGGGTCAAGCAAGGTTTGTTCAAGTTTGGTTCACTTACTTAACAAGCTTTAAAATGTTAACTAAATCATACTTGCACATCGATAACTAACATGGGCAGAACTCTCACGAACTTCAACCTGAGCTGTTCGTAAATTGCTTGGGACCAGTTCCATGTGCCACTGCATAATAGGATTAGCACCTCTAATTGGTGAAAATACTATTCACCCCTTCAAACTGTAGCTCTAGTTTTTACTTTGCTCTCATACCCTATTGGAAGGCAAAACTTTATAGGATATAGCTCATATAGGAAGTTGCATAATAAATCTAATAATTCTAGTCAACCAAAAAAGAAGCTGACAGTTATATAAATAATACATGTAAGGTCACATAGTCTTAAGTTGGTTCTTCTCTAGGGCAGGGTATCAGGCTTGGTTGGTTTGCCAACTTATCCAAGTAGTGACATTTACTAATTTGTCTGTGCAGGTCTTCTTTTCTAGTGAATATCCTCTGTTGGCTTATACAAATTCGTTTTGAGTACAAAAATAAAGAACAATTAGTTTCCATGTCCATCTGAAGCCCCCCTTCTAGAACTGTTCATAGCCTTTGTGCTCTAAATATTCTGATTTGGGCTCGAAAAATGTGATGCATTTGGTGTAAAGTGAAAACACTAATTTAATTAATCAGCCAAATATCTTTCATTGCTAGATGCAATATAAGTTTCTTTTTTCATGCTTCCTTCCTTTCTACTTCTACTTTATTTATTTTTTGCCCTTTTGGTGCGTCAAAGACATGATTTATGTCCTGTAATTTGAGTTAATAATGTCTTTGATGTGCTTCTTGATGGTATTCTCAGGTAGTAGACCTTGTTTGCTTTGTACACCTTTTCAATTCATAGTTGCTTCAAGTTTGTACACTTACTGAGTCACAATTTCTAGTTTTCTAGGACGAGGTTAACACAGTACACTTCCCAGGGCTATGAAATTCTATATATTGTTTTCCCTTCTTTCTTGTAGTCCTTTTATCTACATGTGGCAAATTCTTTTCACACGGGTGAAACGTGGCTGACAATGTAAAAATCGATGAGAACTGTTGAGACTCATGAAATGTGGCTCAGATTGGATGACATTAATTCTTTATATATATATATATATATATTGTTGTTGTTTTACTAACCACCTTGGAGCAAAGTGGTGATAATCAACCGAGCAGAAAACAGAATCTAATTAGCATTAATTTTCGTCAATAGATGCTGCTGATTTGCCTGTGCTGGGGGAAATTATTTCTCTTGAGAAATTTGATATTTTCTGGATTTTCCCTAAGTGCTTATGAAATAGTTGTTGTGATCCAATACTTACACTTGTTTGATGTTTAGGGAATCCCTATCTCGATGGATAGATAAGCTTATCATGTTGAAGCATGCTCATGCGGACTTCATATTTATCTTTTCTGTCAGTGACGGCTGTCCAGTGTGTTATTTTACTATCCAACTCGATAACAAGAGTGTATTATTTTTATCATTTTGCATATAAATTGTATGAGACTAAAGATGTCATTTCAGCCATTAGATTAGCAGAACTGGCCTTTTTATCCATTTTCTTAATCTCAATTACCTCTCTTGTGGAAATGATTTGAAATATTGACAAACTTAAGAGGAATAAGTAAAATTTTCTCCAAAAAAAAAAGAAAAAATTACTAGAAGATTAATGTTATACTAGTTACTTTTATTGAAAAATTCATTTTTTTTTTTCTAGAATTAAATTATCATTTTTATATGTATAATTCGCACAAAGAAACAAATTAATTGAAAATTGGGAGTTTTTTTTTTTTTTTTTTTTTCATATACAAGTATATATTAAGAAAAGGAAAATTATAAGAGACTAAAAGAAGTAAAAAATAAAGAAAAGAAATTCTAAATATTGTGATTGAACCTATAAAGTTAGGAAATATTCATAAGGTGTGTTAAGTTGCATAGAATTGAAGTCTTAAAATTGAAATTAGTAAAATTTGATAAAATTTTAGTTCAATTTTTTTTTCAAATTTCATAATTCTAATGCTACGTTTGGTGTGCAGGAATGGAATAGAATGGAATGCCCATTCCAACCATTCCTTTGTTTGGTATGCAGGAATGGAATGGAATGGTCATTTCCATTGGAATGAAAATCCATTCTACAACTAAACCTATGGAATGGCCATTTCATTCCCAAGTAATTGTTTTTAAAAAATCGACTTCCCAAAAAACCCCCATATTCTAAGTCCAAAACCCACCAACCACCTCCGCTTTTCACTACCACCGCCTTCCACCAGCATCACCATCGCCACCGCCACCGCCACCACCTTCCACCACCACAGCCACAGCCCTACACCACTGCCGCCTCCTTCTACCACCACCATCGCAGCCACCGCCTTCCACCACCACCACCGCTGCCGCCTTCCACTACTGCCATCGCCATCTACCATCCTCCATCACTGCCACCGCCACCACCTTCCACCATCACCGCCGTAGCAGCCACTGCCACCGCCACCGCTACCATTGTCACCACCTTCCATCACCACCACCGCCACCTTCCACCTCCGCTACCACCTCCCACCACCACTGCCGTCGCAGCTACCGCCATCGCCACCACCGTCACCACCGCCATCGTCACCACCTTCCACCACTACCGCCGCCACCTCCATTGCCTTCTATCGCCACCATAGTCACACCACTATCTCCTTCCACCACACTACTGCCACCGTCTTCCACCAACACGATTGTCACCTTCCACCACCACCGCTGCTGCCACCAATTTCCATCATTGCCGCCACCACCGCCTTCCAATACCACCACCTACACCACTACCACTTTTCATCATCCACTGCCACCATTTGTTTTTAAAAAATTATTATTATTTTGTTAATTTAATTTATTTGTTATTAAGAGAGATATTTTGGAGGATTCAATTAGAAATTTATTCCATTCTAAATTTTAAATTGGTCCAACCAAACATTAGAATGGTTATTATCATTCCATTCCTACACATTTCATATTTACAACCAAACAATAGAATGAGAATGGCCATTCCATTCCATTCTCATTCTTATTCTCATTCCATTCCCACTAACATTCTATTTCATTCCTACACACCAAACATAGCATAATTTCATAAAATCAAACACATGTATTTATTATATTACTATCTTGTATATAATAAAACTCTTATTATTGTTTCTTGACAAATATCATATTCATAAACTTATTTTGTTTCTAGATCTGTAGCATTAAGTTATTGTATATAGTAATGCTAAGACCGAGGAACGCTCACTAAGAATATGATATCCCGACCTATAAATAAGAATTTGTTTATTTCAGTGAGTCCTATAATTATGTCTGTTTTTATCCCGAGTCTTCTAAATGAGCACATTTCATCAAAATGAAAGAATAATAATACTAATAATAATTTGTACAAGTCAATATACTAGTAATTCAGAAAGAACACTGAGAAAGTGTCTTTCCCTTGTTTCAAACAGCAAATCTAGGGTTTAGATTTGAAGAAGAAAATGTCAGACTCCTTCGTATTCCTACCTCTCTGTCTGCAAATCATGGTATTCTCTCCTCACACTCTATTTTCATCGCCGAACACCTCAATTTCAATCGATCCAACAACCACCACCTCCTACTACTTCGAAGCTACTCTGATTCTGGTGATCAAGAGCATTATTCACTATATTACGACGATAACGAAATGTTCTCCAAGTATGCAGAGCTTGATTTCCCATTGAAGAAGAACAAAATCGACCATTATTTTCGGTTAATCGGTAGCTGCAACGGCCTCATATGCCACTCAAACGATCAGTTCGGTTACCATCTCTTCCTCTGGAACCCTTCCATTCGAAAGATGATGATTCTTCCACCAGTTTGTGTCACCTTTCAATCACACGCTTCTCACATATGCAGCGTTGGCTTTGGATTTGGATTTGATTCCATCACCGGTGATTACAAGGTCGTCCGGATGGTGCATTTTGATCAATTCAACAAGCCACCGGAGATTCACATTTTCAATCTCGGCACAGGCACTTGGCGCAACATCAGTCATGTGGCGCTTCCGCATATCATCATCAATGAGCGGGCTCCCCAGGCTTTTGTAAAAGGGGCTGCGCATTGGATTGCTTCGGAATCGCGAAGCTATGGACGCGGCGGCTTCTTGATCGTGTCCTTCCACATGGGTGATGAGAAATTTGGTCAAATTATGTTGCTTCCCCATGCCAATCACTTGAATCACTTTCTGATGCAGAGTGCTCTGTATTTTCGTGTTGCTAAGTTACAGGAATCACTCGCCCTCATCCACATTACTGGTTCTCGAGACAATACTTGTTGCATATGGGGGATGGAAGAGTACGGCGTAGCGGAGTCTTGGACTAAACTATTCAGTATTGATATGACTGGATTCAATAGTGTAGTTGGCTTCACAAGGGAAGGTCAAATTCTAGTGGCAACGAGGGATGGGTACCTGGTGGCATATGAACTAAGAACGGGATTAATCTAGGATTAAACAGTGAACCCGTGGATGGATGATTTGAAAATTAATTTCTATTGTCTACTATTTTTGGAATTTTATTTCTCTGCATGACTTGGATTTATATGTTTTGCAGATGTGTTATAAGCATACTGTTGCATAGTTATATGTATACTTAGTTGGGATCAACTGGTGTTAAAATTTGTTTTACATTGCATCAGTTATGGTACTGTTTGGAGAGGTAGATTCTGTAATTCTACTTAATAAATTTAACGGATTGTAATTGGGATTGTATGTACCGGTATGGGACGGTGATATACTAGGTATGGATTAGTTCAAGTACTAAATCCTACCTAATTTGGAATGAGTTGGATTAACCATAAAAAGGTTAAGTCCTACTTATATGGATATATATATGAACCGGTATGGGACGGTGTCATATTAGGGATGACTTGGTTCAAAACACTAAGACCTACCAATATTGGGAATGGATTAGTTCAAAATACTAAGTCCTACCAAATTTTGATTAAGGTATGGATTAACTATAAAGGTTAAGTCTATCACCTACTTGTGTCATGTCAATCAAATAAATTGAATGACCTATTATGGTTTCAGGATGGATTTGTTATACATATATCAGACCACTATACAGATGGATGATATTTTGTATTAGGAGTACGGATTTTATATATTTATTTTATGTGCCATGGTATGAGCTTGAGTCTCAGGACCATGGTTAGGGTGCGTATATCGCCTAGGATGAATAACTGGACATATGTGTTGTTCCCTGGTAGGTCTAGGTACTCATGCCCAACTTCGGGTGCGTATTCACATGTTGCCTTCTATTTAGGCTGAGACAGACCTACTGGACTAGCGAGCGTCCTATAGTGTATACTATATACATATATGGACTACTCTAGATATTGTTGAGTCTTCTTAGGATGTATCTGCGTATCGGATTACTGTTTGGATTGTAGTAGATCAGGACTTGCATGTGGGCCTGACCCACTCCTTTATTTTTCAGGTGTTCGTCAGTTCCAGGGTTAGAGCTCGGACGTGCAGAGCAGATACAGCTATTCATTCCTCCGATTATGTAGGAATCTTCTCTATGTTAGTTTTGGATTTTATTTCTATTACTTCAGTTTTGGTTTGGGAATTTTAATAAGGGGTCTGATGGATGGATTCCCGAGTTGTAAACTTATGGAGTTTTGGATTTAACAGATTTCAATAATGCTATTATTTTAAGGATTTTTCAATTAGTATTCTTTCAGCTTATTATTATTATTATTATTTTTTATTTCTTATTTCGTCTTGTATTCTGTGTTCGACAACATATTAATTGTTTGATATCCCTCGGGTTTGGGCCTGGGCCTGATCAACCCATGTCTCAGATCTGAGGGGTATCACATGTAGCCACATCATCAACTTTATGTAAAGTGTACAACCACGTCAACATTTGATTGTACACTTATTTTAAAAGCTCTAAGTTCTTGTTGTGCACTTATTTTTTCATTGTACACTTTATTATATTATTATTTTTTAAATAATAAAATAATTTTATTATTATTATTATTATTATTTTCTTAATAGTTTTATTCTCAATCACTATAATACTAACGGCTATAATTGTTTGCTCCGATTTAGATACAAGATTTTAAAAATATATATATTAAAAGACAATAATATTACATATATATATATATATATATATATATATATATATATATATATATATAAAGTGCATTACATAGATTCCTACAAATAAAATAAAACAATACAACTTGGGAAAAAAAAATACATTAATACTTCCACACATGAAAAAAAAAAATAGTAAACATTACAATTAATTGCCCCTTTTTGCATAACGCGCTATAATTTTATTTTGTTGATCCTCGATCCATGCTTTCACCGCCGGTGTTGCAGCATCATTTGGATTTTTTTTCGTCATTTGTCTTTCCCAAAGAACTTGCTCCCGCTCAATCTCCATCATCTTCATTTCTTTTTGCGCCTCAAGCTCCTTTAATTTCATTTCTTTTTGCAGCTCAAGCTCCAATCGCCGTGTCCATTCTCGCTCTATGCCCAAATCGAATTTGAATTTCATTTTTAAAGTACGAGATTCAAGTGCTAAGTTGTCCATCAACTTATTTTGCTCGGCAAATCCTTGAAACGATGTAAGAAATAAGTCATTTTGTACCTTATCCTTACTTTTTCGACCCTTCTTGGCAGCTTTTCGCCCAATAGGTCGTGAAGTGTCACGTGAACTTTCGTCAATGGCCGGTGAGTCATTATCGCCAAGGTTTACCGAACCTGGTGTTGATACTGCAGGAGTTGACTGAGTATATGAATTAGTTGGGATTGAACCTGGTGTTGATGGAACTGTTTCGTTATAATCTCCAGGCTCATTCATATCAAGATCTATAGCTCTTTTATTTGTGTTTGGTGTTTGTTGTTTCTTCATTGTATCGCGATTTGGAGCCATTTTGAAGATTTTCGAAAAAGATTCCAACAGTGCTCCAACTTAAATGGCTCTCCTTCTTCATCTTCATACAGTGCTTTTGTTGTCATGTGCTATAAAAATTAAATAAAAACTATATTTAGACAGATTGTCAATTAAAATAAATATTTATTTTTAAGGAAATTTAGACAGTAAGAAATTTATTACAAAGTAAGAAACTTACGATATATTTAACGTCGTATCTACTTCGACATTGGTTTTGGATCTGTTGGTGGTATCCACTAAATTTGCTGACTACTCGATTAATTATTGAGAATTGATTCGACAAATCTAACTGTTGTCGGTTCTTCTCCATGTAGCCTATTTGGTGTTTGAAATCAGCATGGATACGTCCCCAATATGTGCCACTTTGTTGATCTGCACCTGTTATTGGATCTTCCCCAATATTAATCCACGCTTTGCAAAACGCTTCATATTCTTGGGTGGACCAATTTTTCCTATCTTTCCTTGAATTAGACTTGGATTGAGAAGGTTCAGATTGAGATGTATATTGGGAAAGAGGTTGAGATTGGATAGGAGGTGGGTATCGGGGAGGAAATGGGTACTGAGAATGAGATTGGTATTGGGAAGAAGGTAGGTATTGAGAAGGAGATTGGTATTAGGAAGAAGGTAGGTATTGAGAATGAGATTGGTATAGGGAATGTGGTGGGTTTTGGAAACGAGAGAATTGGGATTGAGATAAGTTTTCGGATTGGTCAAATCATGAAGAGTAAAAATCATAATTGAATTGTGGTTATACTTCAGAGTTTTGCGATGGGGGTAATAGAGGTCGTTGATCTATGGAGGGTTCAAGGAAGAAAATTTCGTCAAAAAGAATTGAAGGGAAGATTGAGAAAGAGAAGATAACTAACTGATGAATGATGAGAATTTTTGATAGAAGTATAGTGGTATTTATAGAGAATATGTAATATTACAAACGGCTATATTTTATTTGTTTTTTCTCAACAGCTATATTCTGTTTGTCTTTTTCTTAATGGCTATATTCCAACGGCTATATTATGTTTGTCTTATTCTAACGGCAAAGAGTACAAACTTTTTTTTAAAAAAAATAATTAATTAAATTATTATACAAATTAAATGACTCTTTTAATTTATTTAGGAAAAATAATTTTTTTAATTAATTAAAATATGACTATCTTTGCATTAATTAATTAATTTAATACACATACAATAATTATTTTACACACCATCACACAATATTATTTATTTCAGGCACTACTCCATTCTTTACCTGTGAAGAGTGGGATATGTAATATAAGATGGCCCCACTAATGTGTAATCCACGTAGGAGAGCCATTCATTCCACACGCGCTTACATATTGTACATTTTTTTTGTTCGCTGGGGTTGCTCTTACGGCACTATACTACTACTGTATATGGGTATTTTAAAAAACGGAGGTCAGTCATTAGACCAACTAAAACCCTGCAATTTGCAAAACTAGAGTTTAGTAAAAGCAGAAGGGTTTTGTTTGTTTGTTAATTATATGTGTTGTGGGTTTCAATTTCAAGTTCAAGCAGCGACCCATTGGCGTTACCGAGATAGTAGGGTTTCAACTTCAACCCTAGATTTTGCTTCAAATCAAATCTTGACGAGGGTTTCGTTTGTTTATTAATTCATCTCTGTGGAGTGGTGTGGGTTTCAACTTGAAGCGAGCAGTAGATTAGAAGAAGAAAATGTCAGACTACTTCGTGTTCCTACCTGGAGATATGCTGGTCGACATTCTTACTAGACTACCTGCTGAGACTCTCGTTCGATGCACATCTGTGTGTAAATCATGGTACTCTCTCATCACAAACCCCAGTTTCATCACCAAACACCTCAATCGATCCAAAAACAACCACCTTCTACTATTTCGAAGCCACACTGATCCTTATGTCGGCGATGATAAAGAGCATTATTCACTACGTTACGATGACGTAAGGTTCTTGGAGTATGCAGAGCTTGATTTGCCATTGAAGAGCATCTGCAGCCATTATTTTAGGATAATAGGTAGCACCAATGGCCTCATTTGCCTCTCAGACGATCAGTTCAGGTATGTCAATGATCTCTTTCTCTGGAATCCTTCAATTCGAAAGGTTTTTCCCCTTCCACCGGTTCGTGTCACCTTTCAATCCCACGGTCCATTCGTTGCCAACATTGGCTTTGGCTTTGATTCCATCACTGATGATTACAAGGTCATCCGGATTGTGCATTTTGAAAATGACTACCACCAGCCACCTGAGATTGACATTTTCAGTCTGAGCACCGCACTTGGCGCAACATCAGTCATTTGGCGCTTCCAAATATCAACATCAATGAGCTGGCTCCCCAGGCTTTTCTCAAGGGGGCTGCACACTGGGTTGCTTCCTCAATGGGGCTGCACACTGGCCGCTTCTTGATCGTGTCCTTCCACTTGGGTCGTGAAGAATTTGGTCAAATTATGCTTCCTCATAACATCATGGGTCATGCCAGAGGCTTAGGATCATTTCTGATGACAAGTGATCTTTATTTCCGGGTTGCTAAGTTTCAGGAATCGCTCGCTCTCATCCACTTTACTGGTCCTGAAGACAAGACTTGTTGCATATGGGTGATGCAAGAGTCTTGGACTAAGAAATTCTATTTTGATATGGTTGGAACATTTAATACCCTTTGCTGGCTTCACAAGGAAAGGTAAACTTCTACTGTCAATGACTGATGGGTACCTGGTAGCTTACGATCCCCAAGCCGGACGATTAACTCATCTTTCAATTCGTGGGACTACAGATCAAACGTATAAGTACTCATTATATGCAAATGCTTACACAGGGAGCCTAGTTTTACTTGGAAAGAGATTTTACAATACAGGCACTTCTGAGGAATCATCACCTGGGGCTGGGGCTGGGGCTGGGGCTGGGGCTGTTGAAGGGGGGAGTGGAGCTGTCGAAATCAAGAACAGGCAAGATACACAATGTTGCTTATTTTTACATTCTATACTTGCTATTTTCTTATTTTTGTTATTGCTTCTTATGAATGTCAAACCACATTTTAGTATCCCTGTCACCATTACCTTCGTAGGTAGCATAAACTTAAAAGTTTTATGGTCAATTACTTTTTCATTTTGTTATCTTTTTAGGAGTAATAAATATATTAGATCTTGATATCTTATTTTGTCTGATGTGCAAGGAAGGTTGTCTTTCAGGTTTGTGAGCGGGGTGGAAAATGAAAATGAGGAAACAAGTGAAGATGGAGAACTGTGAAAAGAGTGGAGCTGTAGAAGTTGCATAGTGAACTATTCCCCTGCTTTTAGTTAGTTTTACTTTGCTTAGAATATATGAACTATATATCGATGAAGTTAAAAACTTTCTTTGTGAAAGATTTAAGTCACTTAGTACGCTTTTGAACTCTAGGAGGATTCGGACATGATATGCCTTGTAGATGTTATGCTTAAAATTAGTGACGGAGCCAGGATTTCAAGCGAGGGGGGCACACAGCTAAAAAAAAAAACATAATAATACGGAGTATATATATGCTTTTGAACTCTAGGAGGATTTGGGCATGATATGCCTTATAGATGTTATGCTTAAAATCATGGACGGAGCCAGAATTTCAAGTGAGGGGGGCACACTGCCAAAAAAAAATAATAATAATACGGAGTATATATCTATATATATATATAACAACTATAAAATTTAAAAAGACAAAGAAGAAGAAAATTATTAAAATATAAAAGGAAAATAAAAATGAAAAAACTTTAATAGGAAATAGTTAAAAAGTTTCAATTGAGAAAGAAAAATTTGACTTTTTCTATTAAGGAAATTTAAGGAATGTGAAGTGTAAAAGAGAAAATAAAAAAAAAATAAGAATATAATTTTAAGAATTATAAATTTGAGGGGGGCACTATATAAATTTTGTCATAAATATGGTAATAGCCAATTCCGGGGATCCATTATTGCTTATCTTTTGATGCCATCACATTGTCAATGATCCATTATTGCTCATCTTTTGATGCCATCACATCTTACTAGATTCTGTTTTGCGGTATGAGCCACATTATTACGTGACTTAAGTTGTCATGAACAGCTTCTTTTTGTTGACTTGCTGGGTTTCAAGCCTATTCTGATTTGAGCTCCAAAAATGTGATACTTTTGATGGAAACACAAATTAATTGAAAAAAGTGATATATTTGATTGAAACTCTAAATAAATGTATGTTGCATATCTCCGCCTCCAATGCCTCCCAGTCTGCCACCTCCAATGACTCCCAGTCCTCCAAAAGGAGGAGGGATCTGGGCTTTAGAGACCAGGAGGCGTTCAACTTAGCTCTACTAGCTAAATTGGGTCGAGAATGGAAATAGAGGAAGACTCCGTGTCGGTAAAATTGCTGAAACAAAGGTACTAACAATTGCAATGTCCTCTCAGTGTCTCGTGGTGTTGGAAAAGTGTTTGTCAAACCAAGAGATGGAAATTCTCTTGAGATTGTTGGTTTGAAAATTGGCTTCTCATCTCGAAAACCTGTTAATGGAAGTCAAATGTTGATACAGTGGGGGACTTAATTGATCAACAAAGTAAAATGTGGGAGAGGGAGATAATCAACTGTGTGTTCAATCAGAAAGAAATCTAATTTTACAAATTCCCTTGAGAATGACGGTAGCTCGAGATCAAAAATTATGGGGGCTAACTAAGAAAGGAACTTTCATAGTAAGGAGATCCTATGACACAGCTGAGGAAGTGCTTTATGGTGGGAGAAATCGTAATTTCGAAGCCAGTTGCAGTTATGCTGAAGATACTAAGCAAAATCGGAAAGATGTGTGGAAGATCAAAGTCCAGAGAAAAATACAATTCTTCACGTGGCAATCGCTGCACGAAAACATCCCAGTGAGGTTCAATCTCATGAGAAAAGGCATGGTAAGCCTAGATCGATGCAAAGGGTGTGTTCAAGATGTCGAAAGAGTAGATCACCACCTTCTTTGTAGGTGTCTTATTGCCCAATCTATATATGGAAAGGAAATTAAGTCCTCTGCGATTAGATTCTCTGATTCAAATGAGATGAGATGGATCTCTTTAGCAAACAATTGGAAAATACTCCACTTTCATTTTTTTTTTTTTATGCGTGTATGTATATGTGTGATAGTATGTGTGACAGTGTGTGTTGGTGTTGGAGGCTGTGAAAGAGAAAATAGAGAGGAGAGGAGAGAAGGAAAGAAATTATTATAAGTATGAAGTTAAAAAGGTCATTTCAACATTTAAATTAGTTAATATAAAAGTTAAAGGGTAAATGGAGTGTCTTTGGTAGATATATCAAACTTCAAGGAGTGTTATTATTTTAAAATAGGCAAACTTTCATTTGATCAACATCAGGAGTGTTACTGTACTTTACCATTAAAAGTTTATATAAAAATTATCAAAATTAATTTACTTTTTCAAATAATTGATTAGTAACTTTTTTGAGTAATTAAAATTTTAAATATTTATGAAGCGTAATGTGTTGTCAAGATTAAAATTTAAAAGTAAAACTTGGGGTTGCAATTATTTGTATAATATGTATATAATTAAAGAATAAAATGTATAATATTTAAAAACTTATAATAAGGTAATTTGAAAGTGGTGATTGATTTTATTAGGTAATTTTTAGAGTTTTATAGAAACTCCTTTTATAAAAACTCTTTTTATATTAATTAATAAATATATATTTTTTATTTTGTGTTAGAGTTTTATAAAAAATAGATTTATTAGGTAATTTGTAATTTGAATTTTATTAGGTAATTTGAAAGTGATATTAATTTTATTAGGTAATTTTTTGAGTCTTATATAAACTCTTTTTATAAAAACTCTTTTTTTTATATATTAATTAATAAATATTTTTTAATTTAACCACTAAAACCAAGCTTACCATCATAATACATTAGCAATGCCATATGCCATATTTTGAACCTTTTCTTTAATTTTTTTTTATTGTACTTATGTCATCTTATTATGTTTTTATAATATTTAAATGGTAAGTAATACACTGTCTTTTCAATATTAAGAAATATTCGTAATAAATACATATTCTGCCTTTGCAATGATATATTTTTAAAAAATTAAAAATTAAATTCAAATAGGGAAAAAGGGGGAAAAAAATTAGGCCTACTGATGGTTGTTTTTGGGTGGGGGAGGAAAACGGGTTGACCCGTATATACGCCCGATCCGTGAAAATTCGAATTTAGTCTCACGGGTTAAAGCCCAGGTTTGGATTACATTAGGTTGGCCCAACCCAACCCTAAGTCAGGTCGAGGTTGAATTTAGGTTGGGCCAGGCTGGGTAGGCCCAAGTTGCACCCCTAGTCAGCAACTGATTTGTGGCTTAATAAATAGCCATGGCTATTAAAGGAAATGTACATGTAGCCCAATAACCTTGGCAATCGAGGTCGGTGTGGGCAAAAATCGTATATTGGAGTGATTTTATTTATTTATTTTTTTGTAGTTGTAATTTGGATGGATATGTTTGATTATTACGAGTGTTAAGATTTGTATTAAAAGATAAAAAAAAATCATGACAACTGGCATAAGGTACACCACGTGAAAGCATAACATACATATATATATATATATATTATAGTAAAATACATGTGCAATGTACGTGATAAAAAGTTATTTTATAATCTTAATTAAAAAAATTATATAAAAATTATTTTTATAAAAACTCTTTTTATATTAATTAATAAATATATATTTTTTGATATTTTGTGTTAGAGTTTTATAAAAAATAAATTTATTAGGTAATTTGTAATTGGTACTTGGTAGTTCAATGTTAATTCGGCATAGGCACGCATTTTATGCAGATGCTTACTCGAAGAGCCTAGTTTTACTTGGAAAGAGATTTTGTGATGCTGGCACTTCTGAGGAATCATAACCTGGGGCTGGGCCTGTGGAAGGGAGAAGTGGACCCAAGAAAATCACGAATGCAATATGTCACTTATTTTTTACATTTTATTTTTTCAATTTGCCAATATCTGTTATTGCTTGTTATGAATGTCAACCACAAACCCTCTCTCATCCTTACTAGCATAAACTTAAAAGTTTTATGATCAATTACTGTTTCAATTTACTTTGTAGGCGGAATAATTATTTTAGATTTTGATATCTTCTTGTGTCTGATGTGTTATGCACATTCATCTAATTGTCTTATCTGGTAAATATAAATGAAAATTTTTATTTATATTATGTATTATTTTTTAGAATTTGGTATCTGCATCGTATATGTATATGTGTCCAAGCTTCTTAGATTGATTTAGTGTGATCGTCATATAATGAAATAATTAACTCTTGAATCTTTTGTGTTATGCAGATTCATCTAATTGGCTTTGGATGATTCAAATAAGGTGAGAGGCAATTGGCGGTGGTTGGCTTTGTGGTGATTCATATAGGAAGTGCTAATGCAAAATTGACAAAAAAGAATGAATAGGAATCAAACAAAAGAGATTTTTATTTTTCTTTCAAAGCAAGAAAAGATATATTAATAATAAAAAGCAGATTACGCCATACCCGCAGAAGCCAAATCTAACACAAACTCAGGAAATACCTCTCCAAACACCTCATTATGCTTACAAATGGACCCTATCGCTGCAATCTCATTTGCAACCGACTTAGCTTCCCTGAAAATGAAATGTAACTTAAAATCCTCATGGAGATCAACAAGTTACTTATGTCGAGCACAACAGTAGGTAAAAGAAGAGGAGCCATAACGGCCCCATTAACTGACCTCACCAAAGCTTCTGCATCAAATTCAAATATCACCTTGTCAAATCCCCAATTAATAAGTAAACAGACACATACAACAATTATGCTTTCACCAGCACTCAAAAATGTTGGTGAAAGTCTAAAAAAACGCTGGTAATTTAATTACCAGTGTTTTACTAGCAGAGCTTTTGAAAAAGCGCTATTGATTCTAGCTTCGGTAAAGACCCTTTATCAACGCTTTTTTAAGAAGTGCTGGCACTGGTAAAGACCCTATGCCAGCGCTTCTTAAAAAAGTGCTGGTAAAGGGTCATTTTATGTTCTTTTTTTTTTTTTCGTTATTATTTTTGGAAAAATATCTTTACAGCTGCTAAATGTCATCCAATATAACACAAGTCAATATGAAAACACCATCCAAGTTGTTTTTACATAATACAACCATAAGTTAATCTGCTGCCAATATGAAAAATACCATCGAAATTATCTACTAATAGATAAAGCTGGTAAATGTCAACCAAAACCCAAAAAATGTCAACCAAAAAGCTAAAATGTCTACTAATACAACCACAAGTTAACCTGCTACTATGAAAATACCATCCAAATTGTCTATCCTTTTGAATCTGCGTGTGCCGGATCTCAGAAATAACTGATGCTATTTCCCGGTCATCCTTACCCTTTCACAGCCGTAGAAAAAGGGGTTGATTTTGCCATTAAAGTGTGGAAATCCAGTTTTAGATTGTGGGCGGTTTGTGGTAAATATAGAGTTTACACATTAAGAACAGAACTAGGTCGTCTAAGCTCGTTCCTCAAGCCATCCTTCCCCACCCCCCGAGTCCTTTTGATGGATGCTTTGTAGCTTACCCTCGAAAGATGTTAGATAAAGCTACTAAATGTCACACAAAAAGAATTAAGAATTTTTGACAAATGAAGTACAAGTTTTTCAAAAAGAACCCATCCAAGGCGAAGGAAATTCAGAAAGCACAGCCACGACCCCATCTTCAGCTTCAGCTTCAACTTCAACTTCAACTTCAACTTCAACTTCAACAACTCTTCTTTTGCCCATTTGATTTGAATTACCCTACATTTTTTATAAATTCATTAAGCGCACATTATAATAAATGGAAATTTAACATATAAAAGAAATTAAAGTTCATAACCTTAACTGAATTGGCATCATGACTAGAAAATGAATTTGGGGATATTCTAGGAGCATTTTTTAAATCAGAACCCTTCAAAATAACAAAACAAAATACATGAAATCTTGACATAAGTAAACGTATATTTAGTAAAGAGTAAAACTAATAATAAATATACCTGTCCACTACAATTTTGTTGTTGCATCTGCATTAGCATAGCCACCCGTTGTTGTAAATTTTCCAACTTGTCGTCATAGTTGGCTCGTAAATTTTCCAACTTGTCGTCATAGTCGGCTTGCATTTTTGAAATGGTCTCCTGCAACTCTACACGTGCCTTCTCATAAGTTTTTTTGGCATTATTAATCAGTTTAGCTTTACTAGGAGAGGGCCCCCAAACATCGCTTGGTGTAGGCCACAAGCCAAGCACCCGCACATGACCAGTTCTCTCTTGTCCCCTCACAACGGAGAACAAATCATTGGAACTGCCAATAGGCGAGTTAGAGTAACTTTTTTGAAGACCTTTTATGCTTTCCTGCAAAAAAAAAAAAAAAAAAAATAATAATAATAATAATAATGAATGTATAGAAAATAAATTAAATAGAATGCTTCGTGTCCAACATTTCTAATTGTAAAATAAATTAACTATATCAGCTAGAAAATTCATACTGAACTTTTGAAATAGGGTAGAATCTAAACAAACACATGATTTTGTTTCCTAAAGGAGAAACAAAGAAGCACATTTGAGCAATCTTCTGATTCTCTTCAGATTTTTTAAAATATATATATATATATATATATATATATATATATATATATATATTTATTTATTCTGTCGCAACAACTTGGTTACATCATTTGAGCATTAGCATGAAAAAGTTAACAAATTGGCAAACCTTCATTTCATTATCACACATCATAAGAGAAGTTTTTTTTTATTATCATCCAAACCAAAACATAGAACAGATTCATACCAGTACCAAAAATACATAAATAAATAAATAAAACACCACCACATATTATATGTAACTATTCATACATGAACACATAGTTTAGGAGAATGGTTTCTTGGTCTGCATCCTTAAGAGAAGCTTTCTTAGGATTGTCTGAGGACAACTTGATGGGGTAGGAAGCCTCCATAGCTATACCTCAGAGTCTCTCTTGAGATCTGATATTTTTATTAGGCACTAGGGCCTAAGTCTTTTCTTTTTCAACTAGCCAAATCCTTGGGGTCATGCTTGTCTTACTTTGATATTGCATTTTTGTTTTTTACCTACTTTTGAATATATATGGTTTTTATGGACTATACAAAAATTATACACACAGGTTAGATTTTTAAAACTTAGTTTTATTCTTTAAATGCATCATCAAATCAGTCACCAAACATTCATCTTTTTTTAGGACGAACATTTTAGGTTCTTAAGCAACCATCTCTCCAGAATGAAGGATAGTCAAGAATATAGAATAGTTAATCTTGTCTACTAATATGTAGTGTTCAAAATTATTATCAATGAACTAATCCAATTTCAGAGTAAATCTAGTCAACATAAGAATGCAACTCTGACTAATTTTTTTATTTTTAACATAAGAATAAAACATCTACTATTTCGAAAGAGCAATGTTACATTAATTTATGATGCATTCTTCAAACAAAGTACTAGAAATCATGAACAAATCAAATACAATGCAAGTGACGTAAGTGCTGAAGTATATGCAGTGAACTTGTGAAGTTACATGGTCGTTTTGGGTGCAAGAAAAATCAAGAACCAAGCTAAAAAAAATGTTGTTTATTGTTCACTATTGATATATAAAAATGGTTTTTCGACTGTTATTATGTGGTTCATTTTTTCCTAGTATATATGATTCTTTAGCATCTAGTCCATGGATGGATAGAAAGTGAGTGGGCATACCGAAAGGTTTGGATCATTACTTTAGATCACAAAGTTAGCATCTATACGTTAACGATTTTTACAATGATAAAATTTCATCTATTTATATTGAAAAATGATATACATCATGAAAGTTTTCTCATTATTTCATCATGAAAAATGTGGCAGCATTCCATTTCCCACATTTTTTTATATTATTATTTATTTATACTTCTTTCTTTCTTTTTTTTTTTTTTATTTGGAAAGTTTTTATTCCTTCTTTAAAAGAGAGTAGATACAGATTTATTTAGGGAATGCATCTCTCTCTCTATGTCGGGAGGAAAAGAATATGATATGTATATGTATAAGAAGAGATAGAGAGGATTAGTGGTGAAGAAGTATTTTTAGTTAGAAAAATGATTTATTATTTCATGAATATAACCATGCTATCATATTTTGGAAATGAAAATCGATCTTCTATTCAAGAATTTTATAAACATGTTCGGTTTAGATATTTCAATTTATGAAATTAATAGTTCTTAGTCACTAGACGACCATGCATGCACAATGCAAATTAACACAAACAACAAATAGCAAATACTTCTCCTCCACAACACAAAGCAATCAACAAGAAGCCTCCACATACAATGATCCCATACTCCCATGCTTTTCAACAAATACAAGAAAGTAAATTGCCTCCACACGGGCCGATGATTTAAAAATTGGTCACTTCAAGGCATGTGACCCCTTAATACACCGCAAAGAGTTTAAAAATTGGTCACTTCAAGGCACGTGACCCCCTTTTTGCAAATTGGAAGCATGAAAACTTGCAATCATCTCTGAAGCAGTAGCATCAGTAGCATTGCCATCCTTATTTATATGTGTGCGAATGAATAAATCTGCACAAGAAAGCTGAATACCTTTTTTTTCCTCAATCTATAAAAGAAACATAGACATTGTGATACATATTATTTACCAACATTTATAATCATTCAACGACATACGAATTGAAATAATTTATATTGCCAAAACTTCAACTAACCTCGGCAGAAACACGTGCAAAGCTTTTTGTCCCTGTAGTATGCAGCATTGTCTGATTCCCACAACGTTCTTTGTTTTTTTCACTGACCTCCTACAAAAAGTGAGAAAAAGTAAACATTCTGAGTAAAGAACATTCCAGCTAAAATAATGACTGAAAGTAGGTAAACTATAAATTCAACTCATTGACTTTAAACAAAATTGGTAGATGGAGGATTACCTTCGCCATAGGCGTGCCCCAATGCCTAACCAAAAATTCCCAATGCTCCTTCTCAACATCAGGTGGTGGGTTTGCCAATCTTTCTGCATCTGTATCCCGAACCGAGTAGTATTCACTTTTTAATTTACACTTGTACCCCCTCCATTTTGTTCCAATGGAGGAAAATGTCCACTGTTTTGACATGATTCCCACATCATACTTTCCTTGAAAATGTGATAATTGCTGCATGTTAATCCACTTTTTCCATCAAAATTATTTTAATGTCATTGAAGGGTTTTACCTTTACAATGTTCCATATGTCCTCTTTAAGCCGTTTAGGCATCTCCCACCAAGTTTTGTAGCACAAAGGAGCTAATCTAGCACTCCGGGTAAGTGTTCCCAAATAATTAGTATATGTACCACTTCCAGGGCCGATCGGCTGTCCAAACTTATTACCCTAAACAAAAATTAACAATTGTAGATGTTTAGTACAAAAATAAAGATAGAAATTCTTTTTTCTCCTTCATATTGAATATAGTCTAATTATGTAAACTATATAAGATGATTTCTATATATATGTACCTTAATGGTATTAAGGTTGTCGCATTTATGACATTCTTGCATCGTGTCGGGCCCCGTCTCTTCTTCGCCGGTGGTTGGGATGATTTTGAAGTTGAAGCTTTGGTATTTTCTTCACTCACTTTTTCCACCTCACTAACCGTTCGTTTCATTGTCAACTTATTATTTATCCTTCCTGGAGAAGCAAACAAAAAAGTGAGAATTCATTTAAGAGAATGCAATCAAATTGTTTAAAAAAGGCGGTGCACAATCCAGGTAAAACCAATAAAAAGAAATAACAAATACCTCAAAACTTTAGGGTGTTTTTGGTTGTCCAATGGAAATTATATAAAACCATTTATTTTAATCTTTTTGGTCTTACTTCCAAGAGTTTTGTGGCATTTTACATTCTCCCTCCTGATTGGAAATCAACTGGCATCTTGGGTTTCTCAAGTTTGGGGTTCCTCTAACAATCTCAATCAAATTTATATTAACAAAGCTTGTTCTCAACTACTGTGTTTGTCTTGTGTGTAGGGAAAGATATCAAAGAATTTTCAACGGAGGTATTGGCTAGAGATGCTCCCTTGTTAGTTATAGTTCTTTTCTTTCTTTTCCTTCTTTGTTTTGTGGGCTATCCAGTCTTTATATCCTTGAGGTTGTTTTCAGTTCTTGTTCTTAGTTTGTTTGGGCCTAATCTGTTTACGTACCAGGCCCTTTTTTTTGCTGCTCTTGCAGCCTTTGTGGCCTCTTCGATGCCTATATTCCTATTCTAATACATAAATTTTTTTTAAATGTCAATATTATCTCTCATTTACCTAGCTACCAGGGGGAGGAAAAAAATAAAATAAAAATAAAAATAAATAATAAATAAATCTCTTATACTTGACGAAATCTTTTAAGGCCATTGGTAGTTTAGATCATGAGATATATTGCTAAGAACCATTTTACAAGTGATATCAACTAAGTCCAGCTCAAAGCCACTTCAATCTTAAAGGACTAAATAAAACACCAAAACCAGCCTAATATCTGAAATGATCAAGTGCTGGAAAATAAACTTGATTTTAGTATATAGATCAAAATATATTGACTAAGCAATATATATTATATTTCTATCCACAAATATGAAGAATGAAAACACATAGTGCAGCAAACATATACAAACTAAATCATACAAAAAAGAAACCAAGTAATATTACCTGGGGAATTAAGTTTCCACACTGACATAAAGAGATTAAAATATATATATATATATATTGACCAAGCAATGTAGATTATATTTTTATGCACAAAAATGAAGAATCAACACACATAGTGCAGCAAACGTATCCAAACTAAAAAAGAAAAAGGGAAGAAAACAAGTAATATTACGTACCTGGGCAATTTAGTTTCTACAAAAGAAGTTATGTAATGTTGTCTCCAGCACCAAGCAATAATTGGTGTCAAAACAATCAGAATGTATGATCAGCTGTATATATAAAAGATCATATGTACGTGTAATTAATTAGTCCCCTTGGCAAAGAAGAATAAGGTAATTATAAATCTACTAAATGAAGCAAGTTTCTAACCTCCAGTATTGACGAACCTTTTCTTTGATGATGATCCAACAATCAGTCCTCTTGTCATGCAAGGAAACTTCAGCCTTAGCATATGTTTTGGATGCCTAAGTGCAAAAAAAGAACACGAGGAAAACAATACTGAAGTCTGGAAACAAGAAAATAGAGAAGATCGGTAATGATATACTCGTCAAATTGATCACCAGAACGACAAAAGAAATTATACTAATATGAAGAAAAAAATCCATTGCAATATAATATATAGTGATCAAAGTTCGATGTAGCACTGTCCTGGAGCTGCAAGCAGGGGGGCTGTATAACAAGATGAACAATGTCAAATCATTATACTTTGGCCTTCTATAACACAAAAATGAACCAAACTCTAAAATTTCAGGCATTTTGACATGCGTTCATTCTTAAAATATGTAATCAAATGACAATGCTGATACTACATCATTCTTAAAATGTTCCCTTTGAGAGCAGTTTCTTAGTTTTTTGGCTAACTGGAAACGTCAACGTCAACAGTGTCTTTACTGTGCAGAAATCACAACTACTACTGGACACTCCCTTTTGCTTTTGGAATGGAGTTGGGGCTTACTCTAACAGTCCCAACTACTACTCATCAATGCTGATCCTCTCTACTTTTCCAACATACATAAGTAGACACTACTTTTCTGGTTATAAACAAGTAATTAAATATCTTATATATGCCTTCATTTCCAACTTTCCTTTGGAAAGAAATGCCATAAACCAACAATCAAATTAGCATACACAAAGTCAGTCCTGTTAAAAGTACATACTGCAAATTAAAAAGATTGCCTTTTGCAAGCTATAACAGTTCTTAGAATCCCTCTTCTCAACTATGAAGCCACAAATACGTATGTATATAGCTACATCTATACATTTAATGCTCTTGTTTATTCCTCCAAGTAAATAACTGAGATGCAAAACCAGTAAAATGTAAATAAAATAAAAAAAAGAAAAAGAAAAAAGAATAGAATATATGAACTTCATGTTAACAAACATACCTTATTGTTACCAATTGATTGGTCCTTTTTGCTCTGGTCAGCATTGTACAGATTTCCATAAAACAAACATTGCATAGGTCAGACTTTATAAATAATATAAAATGTCTGTGTTTTGTGGATTTATAAAGCGAGAGGTTATAGGGTTTTCTTCGATCATGGAAAAGGCAAGAGGGAGAAACGGAAAGAAAGAGGCCGGTTAGGGTTTTCTTGAATCAGAGAAAGGGAAAGAGAGAGGTTAGGGCTTGGTACATTTGATGGATTAGACAGAGATTAAGGCTTAAGAGAAATAGTATTTTGAAATAGTGAAAGGGCCAGAGAGAGATAATTAGAGTTATTACCTGCCACGGGAAAACTATCGTCGCCAACAATCGCCTACATATCCATATTCCGAATGAGAAAGCTGAATACAACAAAACTGATGGAAGGAGAGAGAGCTGTGATGACCGGTGATGGAAGGAGAGAGAGCTGTGATGGAAAAACAAAACGGATTCAAAGATCGGGTGATGACCGGTGATGGAAGGAGAGAGAGCGGCTGAAGGAGAGGTTAGGGCTCATGTAATTGCAAAATGAAATGGGAAAGTGGAATACAGACCAAACAATGGTGTTAATGGCCCCAAAAAACGACGTAGTTTAGGCCAAATATTCTATTTCACTAACTTTTTAGTGGAGGGAAAAAGTGGAGGGAAGGGAAGGGCTATTACCAGCGCTCTTAAAAAGAGCGCTGGTAATATTACACCTATACCAGCGCTCTTAAAAAGAGCTACACCTATACCAGCTCTCTTAAAAAAGCGCTGGTATTAGTACACCTATACCAGCGTTCTTCTAAAGAATGCCGGTAAAAACCTAATATGTTGTAGTGATGTGCACGTTTCATAGTTTTTTCTTGACTTTGAAGCTCAAGACATGAGTTGTTTACCAGCCTACGCTCAAAAGTCATGGATGAAGTAATAGCTTGTTCTAGAATAACATTTATCCTTGGCATGCACGGAAATAACGAATATATATAATACATATATATAAGAACATAGGAAAAACGTCAAGCTATTTACAAGACATTAAAAGAAAATGTACGAATCTATATTATTTAAATTGTTAATAATACTCGATCAATCAACCAATAAATACTAAAAAAAATTAAGCTTTAATTCAACCAAATTGTTAAATAATCTGAAGGGTAAATTTTTTTCATACTTGATACTACTAACACATGTCTCTTTGGAGGTTTGAACCCTTGACCTTCCCTAGGAAGGTAAGGGTCTAATACCACTAGGCTACTAGCTCATTGACTATATATATAGTTGACATTATTTTAAAAATATCTTCTTTGAAAAATTACAGGCGGAGACTTGTTATGATTGGTTGTGCAATTGGAGGAAAACTTTATTGCTCCCGTTATATTAGTGACATAGTATCACTAACATGAAAAACTAATACATAGTAACATGATTCACTAAAATAAAATATATACCTTTACTTATGTTACATTAAATAATTAATTAATGACAAATATAACGAAATATCAAATCCGTATATATGACAAATTACAGACCGAGACATGCTATGATTAGTCGTATATATCACTTACATATTTTTATTAAGAAAAAAATAATAATAAACTTTTAAAAGAGAAATGTTATATCTTATCTACTACTCCTATAGAGTTAGATTCTATTTATTGGAGTTCTGTGACAAAAACGTTTTAACATTACTTTTTTATTTTATATGAAAGTAATTAATTTTAACCAAAACGTGTAATTCGTTTGATTGATCGAGACTCATGCGGTAATTGCACCATCAACTGTCTCTATTAGATTCTATTTAATGTCAAAATACCATTAATAGAGCATTATTATGAAGTTGTGGGATATGTTTGAAAATTGCAGTTTTGAGCAGCGGAAGTCTCAAGGCGGTTACCTATTATCTGTTTGATGGTCAGAGCTTCTTTATTCTTTTGCCAAACTTTTCTATCTATTTCCTAAGATACAAAAATATATAGAGTAAGTCAAATTATTTGACCACTTGTAAGCCAAATGGTTCTGATCTAAGTCACTTAATTTGTTACAGGCAATTAATTAGTATCTGAATTGAACATTTTTAACAGATTTCTAGGGCAATGTGTGCAACTGACCACCACCAACTTTCACTTTTTAATGCTTTTGTAGGATCACCCAGTGGTTTAAAGTGCAGGAAATTGTGCCTGTTCACTCCTTTATAGCATCAAAAAACAGCTTGCATGAATTGAACTTGTAAACCAATTGTGTGAGAGCCATGAGGCCCATGAACCAAAACACTCTATTAGATTAATTGCTTTTTTGCTGTATTAGGTTTTCTATTCAACCAAACTCTTCATTTTATAAATTTATTGAACAAAAATGACATATATACAACTAAATATCATAATATTTCATATGACTAAATATTTTTTATAACATACAAGCTTTCAAATAACCTAAGTCCCCTATTGAAACAGAAATATTCCAGGTTTCCTAAAGTTGTTCTACATTAATTAGCCTGAATTTATCCGCAAATTCTTCTGAAGTGGCACTAATATAAATTTAAATTCATTGCTTGGAACATTATAACTTATCAGAAATCAATAAAGCCCAGTTCCTGTTATCACAACTGCATAGTCCGAAAAATAATTTTTGCGTCATGAATTACCTGGCTGTGGTGAAGCGAATTTCTCCATACAACAACCAGCATATTGGGCTGCCAAAAGTTGTGCACATACATTTCAAAAAACACTCCATAAAAGAATGTAGGTGCTATCTAAAGCTAATATAACAGAATCCTAAATGCTTAAGAAACACTGGTGCTACTGAAGCTTACAGAACTAGTTAACAAAAAGAGGAAAGAAGCTTACAAATAAGCAGGAGTGACCGACAGAATATAAAATCAAATACTGAGAAATTCGGAGACACGTGGGAATATATAAAGAACTTCACCTCAACGAGTGTCTGCTCAAATGCAAGGGCCAGAATCTTATCCTAATCAAGGATAAAAAAATAATACAATAACAACGAGAGAGAGAGAGAGAGAGAGAGAGAGAGAGAAAGTTAAGTGTGCATAAAACTCAAAGTTAAGGCCCTGTTTGGGTAGTGTGCTGTAGTGTGCTGTAGTGTTCCCTACAGTGCTACAGTATCCATTTTCAGAACACATGCTGTTTGGGCCCAACTTGTTGTGTTCTCAACAGTAGTGGAACACCAAGGAACAAATCTAATATTTGGCCCAAAAACTGGAACAATAATTTGGTGTTCTATGTTGTTCCAAGCCCATTTATTTTTACTGTAGCGAGATAATAATAAATTTTTCAGCCTCCCAATCGCCTTCATCCCCATTCTCGTTCTCAACTCTGAACTTGCCCTAATCGCCTCCATCTCTATTCTCGTTCTCAACTCTGAACTTGCCCTAATTTCAGATCAAAAAAAATTCCCTAATCGCTTCCCAGTGGCGATTTCACAGCAAATCATTTCAACCTCCTAATCGCCTCCATCTCTATTCTCGTTCTCAACTCTGAACTTGCCCTAATTTCAGATCAAAAAAAACTGTGAACTTGCTCTCTCTCTGTGCAAATGCAAATTACAAAATATACAAGCATCAGTTGCCCTCTCTCTCCCTCTCTGCAACTGCAAACTACAAAATCTACAAGAATGGGTTTCATTTCAGATTGTTCAAAACCCATATCTTTCGGTCAAGTGTCAGGTCCACCTTTCTTTGAGACATTCTTTTGAACATATATATACTGATTTACAATATTGTTTGACCAGAGATGCAAGAGGAGGGGCGGGTCTCGTATTTGATGTGAGCTTTGCTCTCACTCTGTTCCAGACCTGTTACGGTAGAGTCAATATTTAGTTTGAAGTACAGTTATGCAATAAGAGAGAGAGCTACCTTTTGTGTATGGGTTTTCGCTGTTCCACTGTGTTTGGGTTTGCTTGTGTGTATGGGTCTCAACTCTCAAGCTTGCCCCCTCTCTCTCTGCAACTGCTAACTTGTGTGTATGGGTTTTGTTTTAATTTTTTTTTCTTTCTAAATCAACTGATCAAGCTCTGTAATTCTTGTTTTGCAAACTAATGAAGCTCTGTAATTAATTTAATTTAATCATCCAAAAAAAAAATATTAATTTCTATTCCAAAATTCTCACTCCAAATTTTTGTTCCAAACATGTTTTGTTCCCATTTTAGAACATCACACTACAAAACACTTGTTCTGTTCTAGACTAGAGCAGTACACTACATCACACTACACTTCCCAAACGGGCCCTAACTTACCACCCATCCAGCAATCCCCGGAAGTTCTGTAACATCAAGCCCATGATTTATAATAGGTTTCCCAGTCATCTGAAAATATGGTGGCTCAACAAAGCATACTCGCAAACGGCCAAGGAAAGGCCAACAGCGAAGGAACTTCACCCCAACCAAGACTTGCAAGAGAGAAAGGAGGACATAAATCTCGAATAATTTTAATGTGGCATCCATGGATTTAAAACCATGCTCTTCTGTTCAGAAATCAAAAGCAAAAAATGATGGTTGCCATTCGGAATATTCAAACTAAACTCAAAATGCAGATATTGGAGTTAAGTCCCAAGAAGTGACGATGACAAGAATATATATGATGTCATTCTATTACATCCTCGTGTGACCCTATACATCAAAGATTCACACAAGATGTGACAAACCAAATTGAATGGGGCAGCCTGAAAAGGTTTCTTAGGGCTGATTAAATGTGGCTAATGGTTTGTGTTGTTGGCTCGATAATGCTGATAATAGAAATATACTCGAAATATGATGAATATTCCAAGTGAACTGCATCCTAACTCAAGATAAAGGGCAGAGTGGAGTGGCAGCATAAGGGAACTACTGACCCCTCGAGGCAACTTTCCGGTGATAAGTTTCAGAGTGTTGCTCTAATAACATGTTAGTGTTAGGTGGTTTCTGGTATATATGGTCATAAAAGCATACAAAGGCTGACTGTAAAAATTCACATTATTTACAAAGTGCTTCATATAGACTCTAAAAATTCACATTATTTAGCCTTATTCTCTATTTATTTTGAAAACAGTTTTATTTCAAAAGTTAGTGTAATTATTTTTCTAATAGTTTTATAAAATCTTAGATTACAATCCTCGATTCAATACTACGATCTTGATACTGCAGAAGCTCCATTGAGCCTACCTAGAATCCAGATCCTAACAACCATGCTTAACACTATATATAGCATTTTAATCATTTCAAAACAGTTTCAGCTTAATCATCATCACACTTTCAAATTCATCAAATTCTACCACAGATATAATTCAAATATAATAAAAAGGGCCTAGCAGCTGCAACAGATGAATATTGAGTTAATCACTTACCTTCCCTTCAATGTGCATGCCGTCAAATGTAATTTTGCCCACATCCCAAAACCCAATCTTTTCCTTAGTTTCACTGCAAGTATTGCACTTATGTCATCTGTAGAGTGAAAATTCATTCCCAACTCCAAAACCTACAGTTAATAAATTTCAACGAATCTTCTAAGCTAAGAAGTATAAAATTTGTAGCCACAAATAACACACACCACTCCTGAGACGAAATTACATACCAAGTGGTCATCATTGGTAGATTGACGAAGAGCCCTTATTTCTCTGAACATAGGTGGAGATCTACCTAAGTACAGAGTCTGAACCACAGCTTCCTTCTGAAAAGGGTTAACCAATAAAAAAATCAATATCTCAAGAGCAATCAATCAGACTACAAATGATAGCAAGAATTCAATACTAAAGGTTCATTCTTAGATATATATATATATATATACACACACACTAATGGGTATTAAACACAGATACTTCTAGAAGGAGAGATATCTGTATTGTATCAATATCAAATGCCAAAAATCCTCACACATCCTATATTCCTTCCCCTAATATATCTATTGTTTCAAAAAAAAAAATTTAATGCCAAAAGAGTAGCTCGTACTTTTGGAATAATTTAAAACAACATGTCTTAAACATTAAGATGCAGCATTCTAGACCTATAACATTATTGTATAATCGAGTTGAATTTGTATTAAACTCATGTGCATACAAAATGACCTTCAACTTTGGCATGTGAATTTTAAATAGGAAAAGAAGAGTCAATATCTGATAAATTCTTAAAAAATGACTTCTCAATATAATATCGATATATATCTTGACAAAAAAATTATGTTAGTTAGAGTATTTCAACCTTCCTAGAAGAAGGCACTTCAGGCCAACTAAATGTGATGAAGTGAATAGATAAAAAAATTTAGGCAGACAAATTCATACTGCGGTCCATGGTTTGTATTTCTGCAAGAACTAAGGTACAATTGGGAGGAGAATTTTCTGTGAAACAATCTGCTCCATACAAACAGGTCAAATCTTTTCAATTGCAAGGTTCAACCATCGAATTGTTTCGGTGTCAGAAAGTACCTGAAGAAAAATACAGAAGGGATAAATCATTAAGAACTTCTATATATAGGAGTTCATTTGTTTAGTTGAAAAGTTTTGAATTTTATAGATCTAAAAACAAGATAAACATATCTGTTTGGTTTGTCACTCAACAAACCGTTCTCAAGAACTCAATAAACAGTTTATGTTTTCAAAGAACTATAAAAGACAATTATCTAAAAACAAGATAAACATGGCTGTTTGGTTGTTGTTTAAGGTATATATATTTGCCTTCTTGTTTATGTAAAACCCCACTAAAGCAAGTGAGTGAAATGAAAAGGGAAGGAAAAGTACCCGTCTTTGATTAGCCTGTTTTCTTTCCTCGAATTGCAGTCCTCTCCGTAATCTCATCATATATCGATCATGTACCTCCAAAAACAAAACCAAAAAGTGTCAATTGAATAAGACATCACAAACACATCCACAACTTTCTTATTCAGTGACACGCCAGATAGACTCTGGCCAGGTGTGTCTATTTTCAAAGAGGGGTGCCATGTAAGCAGACGTCATGGCACATTTATCAACACCTTTCTTATGGGACATTTTCAGTTTCTTTACAAGACTAAATTTTAAGTCAAATTTCTAATTTAAGCAAATTAACTCTAGCTGCTTCAATTTTTTAAGTTGGAGGTAGAGTTCTATACTTACAAGGATGAGAGGCGCCATCTACGAACTTCCATCTTCAAATTCTTCTGTAACGCTTGGTTTCCTCTCTCAATTCTTTTCTCTCCATCTGAAATCACTCCCTATGCATGCAGACATGTAAAGGAAAAAATGAAAATCAATCTGATTCCTAATGCCTTAAGTTTCAGAATAAATTGGCAATTGTTTATGGAAGTGTTTCCTTGTTGCATGTTGATGGCATGAACAGATGAATCTTCAAACTGTACATCTAAGATTATCATAAAACTTAACTAAATAATGGTATAAACTACCAAAGAACAAACATGTCAAAACAATTAAACCATACCCCACCGCATCACAATTGCCCTAGAGAAATTTTGAGAACATATGTTGAAGGGTGAAAATCCAATAAAACCAAAGGCTGCATTCTGTTCACCTGAGATTTCCATCAGCAGAGCCTCTATCAACATCAAGAATAGATACTTCAAATTAATTCAGTTCGTTTTTCATTACAAACTTACAGCAGCATCTATGTGCAAGCTCTGAAATCACATCTTCACTCAAAAGCATCTTGAATTTCTATCTGTTTGTGTAAAGTATCAAAGGATCCAGTCAACATCCAAAAATACCGAATGGATAGATAGAGGAAGACAGAATGGGTTGAGAGACTGGAGCCAAAAGAGTGGAAGAGTCCGGGCAAGAGATGCCATGTCTCAAGTTCTCAGGTTTACATGGATAAAAAATTTTATAATTGGCCTTGTAAATGTGTAGAATGTCGAGCAAAAATAAGAACTCAAGAAACCACCCACTTCCCAAGGAATGAAGATACTTGTCACTGATTTGAGCATCCGATTTTAAGAAGTATGACAACCTGTAGAACTTTAAAGGTGCCAAAAATACTCTCTTTGGGTGAAAGTCCCCAAGGATGCCCACGGGTAAGTTATGATGAAACATCACAAGCTACTGCTGGACTTCACACCAAAAACAAGAGAGAGAAGGTTTCAGAAGTGGGAGTCTGATGCTGACCATGTCTCAAACATCACTTCAAGATTGAAGGTTTATGCCCCCTCTATTCTGTACTCTATTCACCTCAATGTTCACAAGGAGCTCTGCTCAGACACCCTCAAAAACCAGCTTTCCAAATAGTTCCATCAAAGCATGAACAACTAACAGCCTAGTTCTAATTCAACCTGCCATAGTTTAGGAGTAGTTGCAATGTGTGTTTCTTCTTTAAAGGTATACAATCTCCATTATCCCATTTACATCAGTCTTCTTCCAGTTCTGAGTTATCAGAAGATATAGCCTCCAAAAAATTTTTGATTCCAGACAAAAGGCCCAAAACCTGAAGATCAGCTCTCCTTAGTTCAGCCTTCCTTAGTTCAGCCTAAGAACAGGGAAACCTAGACAACCTACTACAGGAGAGCTTCCATTGATTTCTTATACTTCATTTACAGATTGGAAAGGCATGATAATAATCATTTTTGGTGACAGCACATTTGTCTCATTTCATCCATGATTATCCATAATGTACTTTTAATCTCCTCAAAGTTAATATGAGACTCATCTCCTGCAAGGAACAAATTAACCTGGTCCTTCACCATAATCCAACTGCATCCTGGTGCTTTTCTTATTCCTTTTGATTTCTTGGTTACTCTCACTCGTTCCTCATCTTTCCTCTTTCCTGCAAGTGAATATATGTTGGACAAGACCACATAAGCTGTTGCATTATTGGGCTCCAACTCAAAAAGGTGTTCAGCAGCAAGCTTTGCAAGATCAAGATGTAAATGGGTACTACTTGCACCAAGAAGAGCTCCCCAAACCCCAGAATGGGGCTTAGTTGGCATTGATTTGATCAAATTAATAGCTTCATCGAGTAACCCAGCTCGGCCAAGGAGATCCACCATACACGCATAGTGATCAGGCCCCGGTTCAGTCTCATATGAGGATTTCATAGATTTGAAGTAGTGCCATCCTTCATCTACTAGCCCAACATGGGTACACGCGGAAAGGACACCAAGGAAGGTAATTTGGTTAGGTTCCTGGCCTTTGTTCTGCATCTCATTAAACAACTTAAGTGCTTCTTTCCCAAGCCCATTTTGTGCAAACCCAGTAATCATTGAGTTAAAAGATATAACATTTGGGGCACTAACATTTATGAAGACCTTGTAAGCATCATCGACATTTCCGCATTTAGAATACATTGCAATCAGTGAATTTTGAATGGACAAATCAAATTCAGTATCCATTTTTACAACATGAGCATGGAGTTGCAGCCCTTGGTTTAATGTTGCCATACTTGCTGAAGCACTAAGCACACTGCTTAACGTAAGAGGATTAGGCCTGACTGCCGTCTGACGCATCTGAATGAACCAGCGGAGAGCCTCCTCATATTCTTCGTTATTCACAAAGCCTGAAATAACAGCGGTCCAAGCAATATCATCTTTCTCAGGCATGCTTTTAAACAACTCAATGGACTTTCCTGTCCAACCTTTGTTTGAGAATCCGGTAATCATGGTTGTCCAAGAAACTACATCTTTTTCCGGCATCTTGTTAAAAAGTTCATAAGCTTCTTCAATTTCGCCAGCTTGAACATAACCAGCAATTATGGAATTCCAAGAAACCACATCTTTTCTACACATCATATGAAAAATTCTAATAGCTGTATCTATACAATCAAACCTAGAATACATGTTCATCATAGAATTCCCTAAGAAGACGTCAAAGTTGAATCCCACAGGCAAAATCATCCCATGCATCTGAATTCCTTCTCGATATCTACCAAGGTTTCCACATGCTTCGAAAATTATGGTTAGTGTAGTAGAATTAATTCTTACAATACCTTCACGTCTCATTTGCAAGAACAATCCAAACCCATCTTCAAAACACCCCATCTTCAGATATCCATTAATCATTGCAGTCCAAGAAACCACATTTTGTTCCGGCATCCTATCAAACAATTCTTTTGCTTCCCCAATCCTTCCTACTTTGCAATACCCATCAACCATTGAGCTCCAAGAAACCACATCTTTCTGCACCATATTATCAAAAACCTGAACCGCCTTTTCTAATTTACCCATCTTCAAATACCCAGAAATCAATGCATTTGAACAAACAGGTTCACACAAAATTACTGGCGTCTTGGCAAACAATTCCTCAGCCTTGTTCAACATCCCTGCCTGAACAAAACCCGTGATCATTGCAGCATAAGAAACCGCATTTCTCTCAGGCATCCGCTGAAACAATTCACTAGCACCATCAATACCAGGGATGTTGCGTATATAAGCCGTGATCATCGCATTCCATGACGCAACACTTCTTTCGGGCATTTCGTCGAACACGTTTCGAGCTTTTTTGATTTGTCCATTCTCGGCATACGCAGTAAGCATTGCTGTCCAAGAGATGATATTTTTGTTGGGCATGCGATTGAAAATCGCCTCGGCTTCAATGATATTACCATTTCTTCCGTTTTTCGATATCTGGGAGTTGCAATAAACTTGAAATTTGCCGGATTTGATAATGGGTTTTGCGAGGCTTTGAGTGGTGGAAGTTGAATAAAGGGTCAGAAATAGAGTTTTGATACAAGAGCGGCGTATATAGACATGAATGTAAGTTCGTATCGCTAGCATGATTTACAGCAGTGTGTAGTGTCCATAGAGGAGAGTGAGAGTTGTTCTTTCTGTTCGAAATGCCACAATGAAATTAGACAATTATGAGTCTTGATTAAGATTAAGAGTTCAATCGTGATGAATGAATAATAACAAGAAGAAACAGTAAAAAACACAAATTATTGATATTTTATTAGTTATATATATATTCAGAAACTCATACATGTCCTTTGGACTTATACATCTTCTATTTTGCAAGGTGGGAAATAAGTATCACTAGAATCGGAAGATAGAAAATAAGTATACATCTTCTATTTTATTAGTTATATCATGTACTTTCTTATGGTAAAAAATTATGAGATAAAAAAATATAATAATAAATTAAAGATAATTTTTGTTTCACAAATTAATAAAAAAAAAAATTAATGTTAATTAATTGTTTTTTTGATATTATATTTACACTGTTCTCGTTACACAAGTTTTCTATATGCATTGAAGAAAAATTTGGAATTTAAATATTTTAGTTAAGTTTGGAAATAAAAAACTAATTGATAATTAAATTAAACTAAATAAAAAAAAAATGCACGCTTTACGATTTGATTCTTCACATTTTTTATTCATGATTTTCATGTATTATATATAATAAAAAATGACAATACTTAATTCCTCAAAGATTTACGACATACTCACTATTGATGTGAATCAATAATAAATGCACATGTGATCTTTAATTACCAAATCAAATATTCTAGATAATTATTCACTTACCAAATCGAAGATTATGATTTGATTAATTACCATATTTGATTTTGTAATTAAATATCACATGTCTATCTTATAAATCCTCACTAGTGAGGACTGTTCAATAAAAAATAAGTATATACAGATACATTATTTAGAAGGATTAACTGCAAAAAAATTCTCTCATAGTATACAAAATGTGCAATTAACTCCTGTTGTTTGAAAAACTCTCTTACTTTTTTCAATTTGTGCAAATAAGGACAAATCATAATTTTAGCAGTAAAATTACTAAATTAACCTTACTTCATCATTAACAAAAAAGAATAGAAAAAACAAAAGGTAAAATGTCAAAATTATTCTTAAATTCATCTATGATTTTCCTTCTTCGCCCTGAACTTAACAATACTCTATATAATTATACATATAATCTTTCTTATATATATGTACACTATATACAAGCACCCATCAGCTTTATTTTTTATTCCATAACCATAAATAAATCCAACTATTTATAAACAAGTTCACACAAATAAAAGATAGGGTAAAGAGCATTAAACCCTCTTGAACTATTGGTCATTTGCAAGAAATCCCCCTGAACTACAAAAACCCCCTCTGAACTGTGATTTTGTTGCAATTTACCCCCTTGAACTATTAATCATTTGCAAGAAACCCCCCGAACTATAAAAAATCCCATGAACTATGATTTTGTTGCAATTTACCCCCTTGAACTATTGGTCATTTGCAAGAAACCCCCCTGAACTATGATTTTGTTGCAATTTACTCTCCTGAACTATGATTTTGTTGCAATTTACCCCATGACATTAGCTTCTGGCACCGAAAATTTTGAAAGACCAGTTTACCCTTATAACACACTGCGTCGTTTTAACTTAAACACTTCTTACATTTTTTTTTTTCATGCTAAAAGATGCTTTTCACCCAATACAACCCAAAACAGAGAGCTAGAGAGAGAGAGAGAGAGAAGAGACCAAAGAAATTCGAGGTCAGTGGGATGCCTCAATCTCGGATGATGGCGGCTTGTGCACGAAAGACTCAGCTGTGATGAGAGCTCGGTTGACTCGGCCGTGAACTGTGGAGGCGACGACGAGCTCAAGGGGGCTCGGCGGTGAACTGTGGAAGGCTGTGTGCTCAAAACATGGATGGCGGTGTGTTAAGCTTTGGAGATGGCGGAATGGGCCGGCGAGCTTGAAATGGACGGTGGAATAGACCGGCAAGCAAGGTGAGCTGAACTACGGGCAAGACAGTGACGGCGATGGGCTGACGAAACAGTGCAGAGAAGTGCGATATATATGGTGGACGGATCTGGCGGGTGGTGTAACGGCTATGATGGAGCTATGACAGGAGACCCACTGATCTTAGCAACAAATTCCTCGGCTTCATCGTCCCTTTCAGTCAATCCATTCGCAAGGATGGGGTAAACAGCAAAAAAATATATAGTTCAGGGGGGTTTCTTGCACATACCCTAATAGTTCAGGGAGGTTTTTTTGCAACTTTTATAGTTTAGGGGGATTTCTTGCACATACCCCAATAATTTAGGGATTTTTTTTACAACTTTTATAATTCAGGGGGGTTTCTTGCACATACCCCAATAGTTCAGGGGGGTTTAATGCACTTTACCCTAAAAGATACTCATATAATTGATCTAAACTTCCTAATTTTGCTTTGATGTGGCCTCCTTTGAATATTCTAAGTAATTTTTTTTATCTAATTTTCACTGTATTTTTCAAAGATCATTTTTTTTATGATTTCTATCTATTTATACCGAAAATTTGTAACTAGTTCTTAATTTTTTCTCTTAATATATATATATTTTTTCCCTAGTTGGGTACTCACACATACATGCCTCCACGGAGACTCGAATCCCTGACCTCTCTTTGAGAAATAGGGGCTTGATACCGCTAGGCCAGTCTATTGATTTCTCTTAATATTTTTAAAGAAAGTGGAATTGGATTGCTGATTTTTTGGAGCAGGTCAAGTAACGTCTTCTTGGGTGTTTTGTTTAAGAGAGAGAGAGAAAAAAAAAAAAAAAAAAAATTAGAGAGGGATACTAATGACACAGATAAATTTTTGAGAGAGATATATTATAATTTCGTATAAAAGGAGAATTATAGAAATGGAAGGAAAATATATATAATTTATAGAATTATAAAAGAATATTTGCAAGAAATGTTATGTTTATATATATATATATATATATATATAAATAAACTATTTTAAAATTAAAAAATAATGTACAAATTCCAGAATCTCATTTGACAAACTAAATGAAATATAGTATCATAAAAAATATATATATAAAATAAAAAGGATGTCTTCTTGGTACAATACAGAGATATTTTAAAAAGAGAAAAAATACATTAGAGAGAGATTTTAATGAATAGGTCTTCAAGTACATCCAAACAAATCCATTCACTTTTCTAATATATACAAAATTGGCAGGGACATTCCTATTATACAAAAAAAAAATTATATAATAATATAATCAAGGGTAAAGTGCAAAAAAATCCCTCAACTATGTCTAAATTTGGAAATAACTTCCCTAAACTATGTTTTGTGCATAAAACCCCCTAAACTATCACAATTAGTTGCAAAATGACCCCATTGTCTTACCTATTTTTCATTAAATGACCATAATACCCTTTTTATTGATTTACACTTGATATATTTTTCTTGTTAAAATAAATTATGAAAAAATTCATACTAATTTGATGAAATATTCTCCATTAAATTTGTATAAGTTTGCCTTTAATTTTTTTAATTAAATATTTAAATAAACATCTTAAATAGAAAATTTTGAAACACTTTAAGTAATTTCTTAATTTCATGAATATATTGCATTAAAAAGAAGATATATATATATTTTTTACATAATTTATTAATTTTTCATGAATATTGTTTAAAAAAGTAGATATTTTTTTATACTAATTTTTTTTAAAGTGAGTATAATAAGTTTTATTATAATAAGTTAATCATTTTAGAAAATGATGGCTACAAAGTTATTTATTTATTTCCATTTTTATAATCAATTGATACTAATTATAGAATTATGGTAAATGGTATAATTAATATTTAAATAAGAGAAAATATAATAAAAAATAATTTAATAAGAAATGACAAATTTAATAACAAAGGGTAAAATAGTCTTTTGTGATGGCTTTGTCCTTAATTGCAACAAATCAATAGTTTAGGGGGGGCAATCTTTAGTTCTGGGGGGTTAGTTACAAAAAGTCAATAATTTAGGAGTTTTTTTTGCACTTTATCCTATATTCAAATATACAAATTTATACATATATATATATATTTTGCTTTTGTATGCTTTTATGACCATATATACCAGAAACCACCTAACACTAACATGTTATTAGAGCAACACTCTGAGACTTATCACCGGCAAGTTGCCTCGAGGGGTCAGTATGCAGTTCACTTGGAATATTCATCATATTTCGAGTATATTTCCATTATCAGCATTATCGAACCAACAACACAAACCATTAGCCACATTTCATCAGCCTTAAGAAATCTTTTCAGCCTGCCCCATTGAATTTGGTTGTCACATCTTGCGTGAATCTTTGATGTATAGAGTCACACGAGGATGTACTAAAATGACATCATATATATTCTTGTCATCGTCACTTCTTGGGACTTAACTCCAATATCTGCATTTTGAGTTTAGTTTGAATATTCCGAATGGCAATCATCATTTTCTGCTTTTGATTTCTGAACAGAAGAGCATGGTTTTAAATCCATGGATGCCACATTAAAATTACTCAAGATTTATGTCCTCCTTTCTTTCTTGCAGGTCTTGGTTAGGGTGAAGTTCCTTCGCTGTTGGCCTTTCCTTGGCCGTTTGTGAGTATGCTTTGTTGAGCCACCATATTTTCAGATGACTGTGAAACCTATTATAAATCACGGGCTTGATGTTACAGAACTTCCAGGGATTGCTTGATGGTAAGTTAACTTTGTGCTTTATGCACACTTAACTTTTTTTCTCTGTCTCTCTCTCATTGTTATTATTTTTATTATTATTTTTTTATCCTTGATTAGGATAAGATACTGGCCCTTGCATTTGAGCAGACACTCGTTGAGGTGAAGTTCTTTATATATTCCCACGTGTCTCCGAATTTCTCAGTATTTGATTTTATATTCTGTCGGTCACTCCTGCTTATTTGTAAGCTCCTTTTCTCTTTTTGTTAAGTAGTTCTGTAAGCTTCAATAGCACCAGTGTTTCTTTAGCGTTTAGGATTCTGTTATATTAGCTTTAGATAGCACCTACATTCTTTTATGGAGTGTTTTTTGAAATGTATGTGCACAACTTTTGGCAACCCAATATGTTGGTTGTTGATATGGAGAAATTCGCTTCGCCACAACCAGGTAATTCATGACGCAGAAATTATTTTTCGGACTATGCAGTTGTGATAACAGGAACTGGGCTTTATTGATTTCTGATAAGGTAAAATGTTCCAAGCAATGAATTTAAATTTATATTAGTACCACTTTAAAAGAATTTG